CGCACGTGTGTCTAGTATATATATATGTTTGGGGTGTATTGGAGGGTGGTCGGGGGGTTTAGGAAGGCCATGTGCATTCCAGGAGCTCTCCGGTTTCTTGTTGAGGCCATGGGCGCGTAGAAACTCCTTGCGCAGGCTTAGGGTTTCGGGTTTCCAGGGGTATAGTTGTAGGGTTTAGGGCTTTAGGGATTTATGGTTTGGCGCTTTAGGGTTTTAGGGTTTATGGCTTAGCACCTTAGGCTTTTAGGGTTTATGGTTTAGCGCCTTAGGGTCTAAACCCCTCAACCCTCAATCCTAAACCTAAACCTAAACTCCAAACCTCTAAACCCCTAAATCCTAAACCCGCAGCTCTAGACCTCTCAACCCCGAAATCCTAGATCGTGAACCCTAAAGCCTAAAGCCTCAACCCCTTAAAACAATGCCACACATCTCTATTGCAGGCCCGGGAGTCCAGGGAGCCAGTGCTCTGGAGATGGCGGAGAAGCTGCCGGCGATCCAGTGATTCGGCGCCCCCTTCTGGCGGATGGCACCGTATGTGGGTGTGCGTGCATGCATGCGCGCGTGCGTGCGTGGGTGCGTGTTTATATATATAAATATAAATAAATAAATATAAATAAATAAATAAATAAATAAATATATATATATATATATATATTATGATATTACATATGGTATGGTAAAGAACAGATAAAACGTAATATATATATATGTATATATACATATATATATATATAAATAATTTTACCATACATAACATAAACTTACATCCATGTGCATATCGATAAACTGTGTATCCTATGATTTATAAAATATGAGGCATATGATGTAGTGTATGTAGAATGATAATGTTTAATGTCTATTTTACATTATAAAAATTTCCAGCAGCAGCAGCAGCAGCAGCAGCACCACCACCACCACCACCACCACCACTACCCCCAAGGCCCACTGCCACTGCAACTACGACGACCTGACTACTACCTTACCTGCTGCTGCTTCTACCAAGACTCAAACAAGTAGGCCACTCGATGCTTCGTGTTCTTCCTTCGCTTCAGGAACGACTACAGGCCCAGTGCCCTAAACTCCTGAACGAAACCCTAAACCCTAAACCCTAAACTCTAAAAGCCCTAAACCCTAAAACCCTATAACCCTAAACCCAAAGTCCTAAACGAAACCTTAAACCCTAAACCCTAAACTCTAAAAGCCCTAAACCCTAAAGCCCTATAACCCTAAAACCCTATAACCCTAAAACCCAAAGTCCTAAACGAAACCCTAAACCCTAAACCCTAAATTCAAAAAGCCCTAAACCCACGAAGCCTTATGGGAGTTTCCGAAAATTAGGGGTACCTATTTTGTGGTCCTTATAATAAGGATCCTACTATTTAGGGGACTATATTAGGCTCCCCTATTTTCGGAAATTCCCTTATAGCCCACCCTAAACCCTAAACCCTAAATCCCTAAACCCACCGTAAAATTCAAAGTCCTAAACGAAACCTTATAGCCCAAAGCCCCGAGACCTTCCTTGACTCCGCACCTCCCGAGCCGGAGAGCGCCTGGCTCTGCTTCCACGGCTCCTGAACCAGGCATCACGTGGGTTAGGGTTTATGGTTTAGGGTTTAGGGTGAACAAGGCATCACGCGGATGGCGGAATCGGGCTTCAAGGATTTAGGGGTTTAGGGGTTTAGGGTTCTAGGGGTTTACGGTTTAGTTTTTTTTTTTAATCACCTCTTTTCCTTCGCCTGACAAGGTGTCCGGAATACCATGTTGGTGGAGGCATGAACATAAGATCGTTCTGGTGGACGTCTTTAGGGTTAGGGCTTTGGGATTTAGGGTTTAGGGCTTCGGGGATTTAGGGTTTAGGGCTTCGGGGATGTAGGGGTTTAGGGTTTAGGGGACTTAGGGGTTTAGGGGTTTAGGGTTTGGGGGACGGTAAGGGTTCAGGATATACAGTTCAGGGCGTAGGATGCGGCTTCCAGGGTGGATCCAGGGTTTCAGAATTCCGAGGTCGCGTGATTTAGGGGCCCTTCATACGTAGAATCGGGTTTGGGGTATATTATACGATAATCATAATAAGGAACCCCCTCAAACCCTATTCTAATTATTACGGCCCCTGCCCCCTAAACCCTTATCGTAGCCCTTCTAGTACCCCTTTTCAGGAACTCTTTACAGGAACCCTTTTGGCCCCTACATTGGGGTCCTGAACGAAACACCGGTGCTGAACGAAACACCCGCGCCCGAAAGAGCCTTTATGCCGCTCCTCTGCCGGAGGCAGGGATGATCCGAGCCCAGAAGCCCAGAACCACTACACCGACACCAGCTGAAGGCGACAGAACATATGGGTTTAGGGGCTTTTAGGGTTTAGGGTTTTTAAGGTTTTTAGGGTTTTTAGGGCTTTTAAAGCTTTTAGGGCTTTAGGGCTTTTAAGGCTTTTAGGGCTTTTAGAGTTTTGGGTTTTTGAGGTTTTGAGGGTTTTTAGGGTCTTGGGGGGCTTCGCAGTAGGGTGAGATCTCATGGCGTAGTTCACAGGGACGCCCAAGTCCAGCTGCTGCGCTGCTCCTTCACGCATGCTGCACCAATCGCACCGGTGCCTGCACCGAGGCAAAATGGTTCAAGGCCTTTCGGGGACATCATGTATGAGCTTCCGAAAAATTAGGGTACCTTATTTGGGATCCTTATAATAAGGACCCTACTATTTAGGGTACTATATTAGGGTCCCCTATTTTCGGAAACCCCCATGTATAAAATTCGGTCACTTCTTCAGTTGGGCTCCTTTCAGGAATTTGTCGGTTTGGGCTTCCGGGTAGGGCGTAATATGAGGGCCTGAGTAATTAGAATCGGGTTTTGGGGTAGAGGCTAATAAGCCATAGTTATGGAAACCCCCAACGTAGTATGTCTAATTATGTGGGCTCCTGCAGTACTGCAGGGGGGTCCTGGTAGGAAACCCTTGAACCCCTAAACCCTTAAACCCTTCTCTGAACCCTAAACCCCTGAACCCTTGAACCCTAAAACCCTAAACCCTGAACCCTAAACCCTAAACCCCTGAACCCTAAACCCTTCAACCCTAAACCCGAAGCTTTGAACCCGAAACCCCTAAACCCCTGAACCCTGGACCCTACTTGGAGGATCATGGGATTTTATAAGTAAGGTTATAAGTCCCTTAATTGGGGTGATAAGTATAGTTCCCCTAATTATAACCCTACTTACTAAGTCCCATGATCCTGTAAGCCCTAAACCCTAAACCCTAAACCCTAACTATAACCCTACTTACTAAGTCCCATGATCCTGTAAGCCCTAAGCCCTAAGCCCTAAGCCCTAAACCCTAATTATAACCCTACTTACTAAGTCCTATGATCCTGCAAGCCGTAAGCCCTAAGCCCTAAACCCTAATTACTTCCCTTTCTCGCACTTGAAATTTCTGCATCCTCGGAGCTTCAAAAAGGGCAAGACCTCAACCACACAAGGATCCCTTAAAGGAACCCTTAAAGGATCCCTGAAAGGATCCCTTAAAGGAACCCTGAAAGGGTCCCTTAAAGGATCCCTTAAAGGAACCCTGAAAGGATCCCTTAAAGGAGCCCTGAAAGGAACGCTGAAAGGAACCCTTAAAGGATCCCTTAAAGGAACCCTTAAAGGATCCCTGAAAGGATCCCTTAAAGGAACCCTGAAAGGGTCCCTTAAAGGAGCCCTGAAAGGAACGCTGAAAGGAACCCTTAAAGGATCCCTGAAAGGAACCCTTAAAGGATCCCTGAAAGGATCCCTTAAAGGAACCCTGAAAGGATCCCTGAAAGGATCCCTTAAAGGAACCCTGAAAGGGTCCCTTAAAGGAGCCCTGAAAGGAACGCTGAAAGGAACCCTTAAAGGATCCCTTCAAAGAACCCTTAAAGGATCCCTGAAAGGATCCCTTAAAGGAACCCTGAAAGGGTCCCTTAAAGGATCCCTTAAAGGAACCCTGAAAGGATCCCTTAAAGGAACCCTGAAAGGGTCCCTTAAAGGATCCCTTAAAGGAACCCTGAAAGGATCCCTTAAAGGAGCCCTGAAAGGAACGCTGAAAGGAACCCTTAAAGGATCCCTTAAAGGAACCCTTAAAGGAACCCTGAAAGGGTCCTCTGAAGGTTCCGGAGCCAGCTGTTTTTTTTGCACCTCAAGACCTTAACCCACCAAAACCTAGCTTTTTTGTAGGTCCTTATTATAAACGCTAATATGGAATTTAGAGGGACTCTACAAAAAAGTAGGTTTTGGTAGGTTAAGGTATAAAGTATATTAAGGGGTTTAAATTTTAGGGTCTAGGATTTAGAGCATTGTAGAAAGGGTTTACATAAGGTTTAGGTTCTAACGCTTAGCCCCAAGTAACCTACCTTTCTAAGGACTTATATAAAGAAGTCATAAGAAGGAGCCCTAGTAAGGTAGGTTTTTTAGGGTCCAGGTGTTACGGTCATGTAACCTCGGAAGCTTCCGCTTGAAGCGCCAATATACCGATAAGAATTGCTAGTTGGGTTTGGGGTTTATGAAACGAAGCCTTCAGAAGTCCTGAAGCCTACGATCTGTGCGCACCACGTTACAGGCCTGCCACTGCACGCCTCCAGCTGCGAACAAGATCCTTCGGATTGTGTTCAGCACAGCACAGGCCACTACAGTGCGCTGCAGCAGGAAGAGTGGTGGCACAAGCAGCAGTTGTGACGGTGAGGGAAACCCGTAAGCCAGGTTCTCGATTTAGGGGGGATCTCCCTCTTCCCAATGGTCCCAGAATTAAACCTCAAACCCCAAAACAGCTTAAAAAGAAACACAGGAACCTAAGCCACAAAACAGCCATAAAAAGGAACGACAGGAACCTAAACCCCAAAGCAGCCTTAAAAAGGAACGACAGGAACCTAAACCCCAAAACAGCCTTAACAAGGAACGACAGGAACCTAAACCCCAAAACAGCCATGACAATTCCCGACAACCCTCGATTTGGGGGTTTCCGGAAATAGGGGACCCTAATATAGTATCCAAATAATAGGAACCTTATTATAAGGACCCTAAAATAAGGCACCCTATATATTTTCGGAAACTCCCAGTTGTGTGCAGCTTTTCCTGCTCTGTCGGAGCCGTGTTGCCGGACCCCTGGTTCCCGAACTTTGCACACTCCTGGATGGCGGGATCGCTTCAGGATACGGTAGGGGCCTTAATAATAATAATAATAATAATAATAATTATTATAATTAGAACAGGGTTTTGGGCTCCTTAACAGTATGATAACAACAAGGAGCCCTACACAAAAATATTCGTAGTTATTTAGGCTCCTCTTACACTTATGTAGGGCTTTCGCCAGCACGTTGCAGCATGGGTGAAGATTCATAAACCCTCAACCCTACACCCATACTATACTGAACTTAGACCCCTAGCAAAAATTATAATTTCAGCTGCTTCTTCGGGTTTATAGTAGCCGAAGATTAAAAAATATTTCTAAGTACCCCTAAGTCAACCCTAAATCCACAAGCGCGGGGATTCCCTGGGCTTTACCTTAAGGGCACAGCGGGGCCCGGAAGTTCCAACTGCCTGGGTTCTACTTTGGAGTCTGCGGCTTTAGGGTTTGGGGTTTTTGGGGCTTCAGGGGCTTAGGGGCCACGCGATGATCCCTTTGCACTATATATATATATATATAGGGTTTGGGGCTTTAGGGCTTTTGGGGCTTTAGGGTTGAGGGCCTTTCGGGGTTTTAGGGTTTTTAGGGCTTTTAGGGTTTGGGGCTTTGGGGCTTTACTAGGTTGGCCCCTCAAAGCCTCTGAAAAATATGATCCTTTTAAGCCCAATAAGGGGAAATGTAAAATGTCCCAAAGGCCTACTTGAAGGATCATGGGACT